TCTAAACCAGGATGGAGACAGAAAGCATTTGGCTGTAGGCAGAGATGGGCAGACAAGGAGAGGCATGTCTGGTGCATTCCATCTTAGTGACTTTGCAAAAGGAACCAGTGTGAGCAGGCATTTGTCCCAATGGGTTCCTTTCCTCACTGCCTCAGAAGTCCCCCTACCCTTCAAAGGTTTAAAACGTAGAGTGCTTCGCCACCCTCCCACTATCATCAGGTCTTCAGAGCAATTGCCACATGTTGGGGACATGTGAAGAGAGAGCCGTGTGTTCTGTGGAACAGGAGCAGGAGTCAGACTGCAGGGTGTTCCTAAAGCAGTGAAGTGAAGCCACACTTGTCATGTGAATCCGATTTGGCCTTCTGGCACACCAAAATGTGTTCTTACATCACATCCTCAGAGGCTGTTACTACTTTTCCTGTGACCCCGCAGCAAGCTCCGTTTCAATTGCGTATGTGAAAAAGACGAACCGTACTACCAAGCCCCCATTCAGAAGTATGGCTGTGGACTCTCCAGGTGCACAGGAAAAGGGAAACCCCACACTTATGGGCTGAATCTGAGCTGGGAGGTGCCTGGCCTTATTCAGAAGGGACATGTTGGCAGAGGTGAATATAAAAAAGATCAGAGAAAACTTTCTCCCAGGGCCATATTTCATTAGTGTCAAGAGATAGGAAATCTGGGTATAATGGCATATACCTTTAATCTCAGGATTTGGGATACTTATATAGGAGTTTTGAACCAGTCTGAGCTACAGTGTGAGACCATGTCTTAAATAAATGAATAAATAGGTTAGATAAAGAGTCAGCCTATTATTGTGACCCTTCAGTTGGAGATGTGCCCTTTCATTGTGGGATCTGGCATTTTGAGAGTTTTCCTTTAAACCCTCAAGTGCTCGGGCCCACACATATTTGTTCTCATATGTCAGACACACAACACAGACTCCATAAATCCCCACAGCAGTTAGGGAAAGTCGAGACATGTATTCTAAGTAACTGTGAACAGAATAGAAAATAAGACATGTCATCACAGTTTAGAAGTAGCTTGACATTGTACAAGACAAAAACCCTTTATCCCAAGTGACGGAAGCCCAACTCATTCATTCATTCATTTTATAAATGCATAATGCATTTTTATTATGTGCCAGGTTATTTTCAGGTGCTGGGGATCTGGAAAGTGAAGTTTATACATGGATGCTACTCTCACTGTGGGTGATACAGAGAAGGGCTGGCAATAGCCAGATAGCAATGTAACTCAAGGCCTTATTCAAGTTGGACAGCCTGCACAGTCCTCTTTGTAATGACTATGAGCTGAGATCTGAATTTTTTTTTTTTTTTGGTTTTTTGAGACAGGGTTTCTCTGTGTAGCTTTGGAGCCTATCCTGGCACTCCCTCTGGAGACCAGGCTGGCCTGAGATCTGAATTTTAAGAAACCAAATTAGGTAGAAACTTGTGGAAAGAACATCCCAGGAAACAGAAAATGTGAGGGGACTCGAGGAGCAAGTGAGCTGTGGTATACCTGAGTAACATCTGCACCCTTGTTTAGGCTGTAGCCATACTGAATGGCACTGACCCTGGTGGCAATTAGGTTTCGTATGATGTCAGAGGCTAAGTCATTCACTGAAAGGGTTGCAGCTTCCGCCTGACTTATCCTTTCTGGCAAAGTCAGTTCACCTAAGCAACTCCAAGGACAATGAACTGGGACTTACTGCTTTCAAGCTAAATGAATCTGAACATAAGTAGAGATTCTGAACACAACACCTTTGCCTAGGACATATTCTGCAAGACCATTTGAAAATTAATTGATACAGAACCATTGTTACATGAAGAGGAAATCTTTGTTTTTAAGGCTGTGATTATATTTTACTGTGAAATCAGAAATTTTCTGAGGTGTGGGCCAATTTTTAAAATAACAGTATGGATATGGATCAGCAGTTAAGAGTGCTAGCTGCCCTTGCAGATAACTTGAGTCTGGTTCCCAACCCCCACAACACACGGCTCAGAACAGCTTGTAACTCCAGTTCTCAGGGATCCCACACACCCTTCTGTCCTTTGCAGGTACCAAAACACATGTTCAAATACACACACACATACACACATACACACACACACACACACACACACACATTAAAATCTTTTAAAAATAGTGATTTGAAGCATAATCTACAACAGTACAGCTAGATCTACCAGAACAAGCTCACAAGCCTTTTAAGCTCCCACATCTCAAGTCCATGCATTAGGTGTCTGTTGTATATAGTTTGGTGACTAAAACAATAAGGATTTGCTTTCACATGCCATGTTCTTTGGATGAGGGTTTGGCAGTCTTTCACTGGACATTCTGGCTTAGGGTCACCAAGGCTCCTGGACTATAGTGGCTGAGAGAAAATGGAGCATGAGATGAAGTCAGCACCACAGAGGCTTGGAGCCCAGATCACAGCCCTGCTCAGAGGAGTTTATTTTGTGCTAAGTGAGATGAGAAACCATTGGTTAGAGGAGTTTATTTTGTGCTAAGTGAGATGAGAAACCATTGGAGGGAAATAATCTGTCATTTCAAAGGAAATGGTTTGACAAGAGCAGAGGGTGTTTATTGAATCACATAAATGAAAATTTCAGGACCAGGCATAACTGGATGCAGGTCCACAAACAATCCACAAGCAATCTGTCTCCCACCATCACTGGTCTCTGTTATTGGCTTCATGCCCAGGAAGGCACGCTCTCTCTCCATGTTATGGGAAGATGTCAGCAGTATCTCTGAGCATACACTGTCCATAATTATAATTATTATGACAGACACAGGGGAGAGAACACAATTTCCTCTCCGTTCCAGTGAAAAGAGCACTAATTGGCCTTGCTCCTGTCACAGAGCCTGTTTGGGCCAATTATTATGGTGATGGCCATCCTAAAACATAAGAACCTCATGATTGACAACGATGCCATGAGCTCAGGATATGAGACAAGGGAACGAATACAAGTTGGCAGCATGTGGGAGGCAGGCAGATCTCTGTGAGTTCAAGGACAGCCAGGGTTATACAGTGAGACCTCATGTCAAAGAAAGAGGAGAGAAAAATGAACTTAGTCAGTAACCACCATGGAAAAGTAGAAACGGGACTGTGGCCTTCCCTGTATTTGTGCCATTGAATGAATGACCCACGATCTCAGGGGGCAAATTATCATGGACTTAAGGGCACTCACAAGCACCCAGAAGGCTACCTATGTGCTTAGTGTGTGTTGGGGTAAGAAGAGACACCAACATGGCTGATCCCAGTCTGTGTAAGTACCACATTAGGCCTCTTCCAGGGAATGTGAGGACATTGCTGGTGACTCTCAGGTACATTTTCTACCAAGTAGGAGTTCATACTACTTTTTCTGATCCTAGGACATTTCTCATGACTCTCAGGTACATTTTCTACCAAGTAGGAGTTCATACTACTTTTTCTTTTTGTTCCAGGGATTTCTGGTGGCCTTGCAGTATGGCTTTGCCAATGGAGAGGTATGTTTCTTACACTGCCATCCGTGCTTCTGGTGAGGTGGAGGTAATAATTCTACTCTCCCTAGGGGTTTCCATTTGGCTGACTGTATAACTGTCACTGGCATGCATTGGCACAAGTTTTTGTTGTGAGCATCCATTAGAGAAAACAGGAGGTGGTGTAGACTCATGGAGTGGTATGAGAAGCTCAGAACTCAGCCCTCGGTCTGTTGGAGACATGGAAGGTTTAAAATGGCATGGAAGAGACAAGCTGGGACTTTAGCGTCTAAAAACTGCACCCAAGCACTGGCTGACCACTTAGGAGCTTTGTGGATTAGTCATTTGGCTTCAATTTTCTAATTTGCAAAGTATTAGTAAAAGCTTGCCCTGTTTACAGTGGTGCCCTGGGCATGTTCAGCTTTCTGTTACTATAACAAACACATGAGATAGTCAACTTACAAGGAAGGAAAGGTTTACTTGGCTCATGGATGCAGAGGTTTTGGTCAATGGTTGTTTGCCTGACCACCTTGCCTTTGGGCCTGTGGTGAGAACATTCATAATGATGGCAGTACATAGTGGAATGAGATAAGGACCTCATAAATATGGGGGGGAGGAGGAAAGGAAAGGCAGAGAGGGAAGAGAGAGAGAGAGAGAGAGAGAGAGAGAGAGCTCACATTCTAATAACCTTTTCCTTCCATTAACCCTTACATCTTAAAAATTCTACCATCACCCAATAGGGCCAGGGGCTAGAGACTAAGCCTTCAATGCAAAAGCCTTTCACAAACTACAGTACCTGGGGAAAGAAAGACTTGATGGGGCGAGATGCAGATGCAGAGGACTGCGTTTTCACGAGTCAGTAGTTTCCAGTCCCCTTTCATCCTTCCCACCCTCCACCCCAGGGGCTGTCTCCTCTAATAGAGCATAAACCATCTCAGCAGCAAACCCCGCTTCTACTCTGTCAGTGCTTTTTCTGCATCTCCACATGGGAGCTCCTTGTCCATCAGGCAGGTTCTAGCTGAAAAGTCACAATGCAAAGTCCCCACCTGAACACTGTATCTCCAGCTTCCAGAGTCCCATCAAAAGGCAGAAAACACTGGTAGAAGATTTTAAACTTTATTTAGGTCTAGGGCCAGGCAATGTTCCATTCTATGAAACACAATAAATATTCCAATAAGCAGGGCAGAAGGGCTTGTTTTAATAGATAGAAAAGGAATGGGGGAAGGAGAAATTAAGAACAAAAATGATTGCTTCAAAGTGACTTTTCTTGTAAGATGGTGTCCTGGTTAGGGTTTCTGTTGCTACAATGAAACACCATGACCAAAAAAGGAAGTTGGGGAGGAAAGGATTTGTTTGGCTTACACTTCCACAGCATCAAATAAAACCAGGACAGGAACTCAAACAGGGAAGGAACATGGAGGCAGGAGCTGATACAGAGCAGTGGAGGAGTGCTGCTTACTGGCTTGCTCCCCGTGACTTGCTCAGACTGCTTTCTTACATGGCTACCAGCCCATGGGTGGAACCACCTACAAAGGTCTCTAGGCCTTTCCCCATCAATCATCTATAAAAACAAACAAACAAACAAACAAACAAAAAAAAACCCTACAGGCTGGCATACAGCCTGATCTTATGGAGGCATTTTCTTTTTCTTTCTTTCTTTCTTTCTTTCTTTCTTTCTTTCTT